GTGCGTGCGCGCGCGTGCGTGTGCGTGTGCGTGCGTGTGCGTGCGTGTGCGTGCGTGCGTGTGCGCGCATGGGTTCGTGTGTATATGTGTGTGGGTTTTTGTGCATGTGTTAGGGTCTTGTCCGCACGACTGCAGCAAATCGTGTTGCTCGGAATTTGCACACATTTGCACCTTCCCGAGACGCCAACGACGCGACGAGGACGACGACGACTGGTGGTGCTGCTCCTGCTCCTACTACTATGTACTACTCCTCCTCCTTCTCCTGCTGCTGCTGCTGCTTCTACTGCGACGACGACGACGACCACTACGACTACTACGCCACTACTACAACGACTAATACAGCTGCGCCTCTCTTGTGCATTTCTTCTGGAACAAGCACACAGCAACAGTAAAGCTAGCAGTAGAACTGGCAGGGGCAGGGGCAGGGGCAGTGGCTGTCGCAGCAGCAGCAGCAGCAGCAGGAGGAGGAGGAGGAGTAGTAGTAGTAGAGCAGTAGTAGTAGTAGCAGTAGCAGTAGTAGTAGTAGTAGTAGTAGTAGCAGTAGCAGTATTCAGTCAGTCCTACCTACCAATACTTTGTACGTCCGATATCCGGTTCAAGGCCTCAACAAATCTGACAGTGGTTCTAGCTAGGGTTGAGGGTTCCAAGCATTTTTTTGGTGGCATTTGGATGCACCATTATTTTTCAGGGTTGTGTTGCCCTTCTCGACGGAGGGCCCATGGCGTGCGATAGTCGCGTCTTGTTACATTTTCTTGTAGGTTACAAACCAACGGCCAGCTGCAAACTGCACACAATGACGGCGTCGGCCTCGAGTTATTCCATCAACATGCATTGCATCGAATCTAGATTCTACATTTGGACCAGATGCAGTCGATGATATCCAGCATCCAGAACGCATGCCGGGAAGGAGGAAGGAAGGAAGGAAGGAAGGAAGGAAGGAAGGAAGGCTCACACCACGCAGCATAAAACTGTGGCAGGCCAGCATGGTGCAGGCGGCGAAGGCAGCATTGTGCTGCCTGAAGTGTGTTTGGCTCGCTGTCTTTAAGGATCTTAACAATCTTGCTTCTAGTAGAATGAGTAGTAGGAGGAACATTGACCCTTGGTATCCAATCGACAGCAACACTAATACGGGTGTCATGCAGTATGCCCTTTTAGGAAATTCCTGTTTGCCAGCCAACTTGTTTGGGGTAAGTAGATCATCTATAGAGGGTTAGAGTCAGCACCCTTACACTCCAGTCGCCCTGCGCTTGCCTTATGCAGTTCTGTTACAGCAGATCCCACCTATCAGCACAACAGGCCCCTTCCTGCCACCATGTGGGCTACCACGATGTCTATCCCTATCAGCAACCCTATAGAAAGCTACTTTTCTCAACCCTAGTCGAGCAAGGGGTCTAGTATTTCACAAAAATGTTTCAGCTTTAAGCTTGCGTGTTGGCAGGACGACGCCGTCCTGTGCTCTTGCCTTAAGGACGAGGCCTCCAAGGCGATCAGGATCCAAAGATTATTTACCAGGAATGTGTAGAGTGCAGGGCTCCGGGTGTAGGGTTTAGGGTTTGTTACAGGACCTAGTCTGCCGGAGTGCGGATGTCTTGCTCCAATCTTGAGTATTCGGTGAGGGGTAGGGCAGAAGTGACTCTGCAGGACGTTGGGTCAATCAGGGCCTGCGAAGGATTGAAAACGACCACTCCCGTTCCCAACCCCTTAATCCTGCGCGTACATGTCCAAACCATCAGTTTGAGCGCTCCCCCCAACCCTCCGCACCCAGCCACCATCCCCAAGTTTCACTTTTGATCTTTGTCCCGATCCACAGGCCAGAGCACGTCGCTGAGCCGGCCGAGGTTGTCTAGGGTTTAGGGTTTATAACACAACAGTCACCTACCGTGTAACTAGCCGGCTGGGTTTGTTCAACATAAATTGCTGCAAACCATGCTGTACAGAGATCGGGTGGCCTCTTGAATTGAATTCGGCACACTGCGTGTACACGCAGTGTGGCCCACCGTTTACGAGCCGCTCGCTGGAGCCGGCTGGAGCCCCTACGAGACCAATTCAGCCTACCTTATCTTACCGGAAGCTACTCCTCATGTGTTTGTTGAAGGGCCTTGCACAAACGAAGCCCATTCCGGACTGTATGGGGAGCCTGCCAAAACATGCCGAAAATACTTCAGTGGGCTCCATCCAGCATACACGTGTTACACGTGCCTCGAGTGCTTCTTTAAAAATCGTTTAATCATCTTCTCAAGTGCGGGGTATCGCTAGGGGCAGGCTGAAGAAAAGACAAGGCTGCGCTTCTAGTGGAGGCTTTCAGGGCATTGAAGGATTCAGGATGTAGACACATTCTGGGTGGATTGTGGGCTGGAGTACTTTCGTCCTTGGATTCCTTTGCTCGGATATGAATTGTGCCCGGGAAACGGAATTAAAAAAGAACTTGAGTGTTCATATGTCCTAACAAGGCCACCGATGGCAAGAAGCACCAAGAACGACAACCTCTGCTGGTCAGCCACGGATGTAGTGCCCTGTCTTGCCGCGCGCTTATGTCGTGTATCGCAAGCCACTCTCAATGAAGATTCCGATCCCTGGAAGTCTGACCGTGCATTTGGAATCCAGGCTGCGCAACCACTGCTTCCAGCGTGGAGTACATTGAAAGTGTTCAGTACGGTCTAGGTCAGGGAAACCCAATTCAGAACCAGGTAACACTCCTGCAGCAACGCCATGGGCACCAAATGGCACCGCTGGTATGTGCAGGCATCCGGTTTGACCGGAGGTTTTGGCTATGATGCATGTTGGAAACACACTTCCTTGCTCTGAATAGTGCATGAGCTTCCCCCCACCACCCCCGAAATACCCCTAGGTCAGAGGTTCGTGTTGAAGGGTTGTCGTTCATTTGCTTCCGTGCACAATGCATCCTGATACCCATTGTTCCAGCACTCCCTGATTTAACCGCTACACGAACCCGACTCTGTCAGACGCCGGCTATAGTGGAGTAAAATCACGTGAGCTGCAGAGCAACATGATGTATACTTGTGAGTATGCCGTCATGTCATTGCTGAAACTACTTGTTAGCCTGAGAGCGTCAAAATTTACAGTTTCACCCCTGCCCCGCCCGAGCCTGCCCCTCACCCGCCCATCCCCTCATGGCAACAACAGCAGCAGCAACAACAGCTACGGCAGCAACAACGACGACAACGACCACGACCACGACAAAGACGACGACGACGACCACGACTGCAGCGACAACGAGAACGACACCGACACCGACCGATCGACCGACCCACCACCCAACCACCCAACCACGCAACCACCCAACCACCCAACACCCACCCACCCAGCCACCCACCCACCCAACCAACCAACCAACCAAATATCAAAGCACGCTTGTTTCCAAATCGCCTCCACCACAACATCTCGGGAAGCAGTCTTGAGAAGTTGGGCAAACGAGAAAATCTAGAAACCGAAACCTCAGCCTGTGCAAAGTTGTGTTGTTTTTTGAACGAAGTCTTGCCTTCTGGAAGCTAAGTTTGATTGAAGGATATTCCATGCTGGGGGTGTCAATAAGGAGGGAACAAGTTTGAGAAACTTTCTCGTGCCTTCTATGCTGCAGGCGCTGCATCTGCCCGAGCACGAGTTCCGCAAACTGTCTCTGGCAGTCGCTTTTCGGTTGCAGCTGGGGCTTGAGGGTTGTTTTGTTGCGTGCGTCTTCGGATTCGGATACGCCCTTGGCACGGGATGTTCACGGCAAGCAGCGCTGTAGGGTTTGGAAGCTTGAGATCTTTTACGAGCGGGCCGGCAGCCTTGAGCATGCGGTTCCTCACACAAGGGGGGCAATCTCGCCCCTTGAGGACTTCATGCACTCTGTTTCGGATAATTTGTTGCAGCTCCCGCGTTGGCTTCAACTAGATACCAATCACAAAGTACACGGCCACAGCCACGGCGAAGTAGGTGTGTTGGACAAGTTCTTTCGGAGTTAACTAGGCGATTTCGGAGTTGCGCCGCGAACTGCCCGGAAAGTAAATATCACAGAGCAGTCTTGCTTTCAGAGAATCGAAAGAGTCGAAAGCATTGCCGCATTGCAACACTTTTTGCCTTCTTCAGGTCAGGTCAGTGGTTGTTTCACTGTTAACAACGCTCAGTTGGTCTAGGTAAAGCCAAGTTGGGATGTTATCACGTGTTGAGCCACTCAACCATCAGATTTGTGCAACGTATTCATGTTCCGAGAAACAGAGCAGCGGTACGTGTGCTGTTTTGGACATGTCACGTATGCGATGCAACGTTTACACTGGCTCGCATATCACAATCCTCCATGCCAATAGACATCAGTAAGACCGTGTAAGGCTTCGCCCGCAACCGTAGTCCTTCACAGAAAACGTATACTGCAAGCCCCAATACCAGAAACTCCATCTGCAGGACAGTTTGGCTGCCCAGGCCCCGTGAGTCTTTGTTTACTTGGAGGTTGATAAGACTTGCTGACCAGTTATATGCATCAGAAGAGCAATACATGTGTAATTGCGAGTTCTGTGTAGGGCAATCCGCATATAGCCAGTCAGACGGATTGAAAGCGCCAAATACAACTGTTGCTAAGTCGCATGAGCCTCCAAGTAGAGCTTGCACTTAGTACGCTTGTTAAATGTGGGGTTGTAAGTTAAGAGCGACAGTAAATGACGAGTATACCTGTGTTGTATGCACCAGAAGGGCAGCTTGAGAACATAAGCGTGCATTCAGTGAAGAGCGCGATTGCACATGCTCTTTCAAGGTACTCTAAATCAGCGGAAGATCCAGAGACGTGCAAAGCAATTGTACGACACTCAATCGCCATACAGCAACAACTCATCACAGAGAATGCTATGCGGTCACAGGGAATTGTGAAAGGAATCCTCGAAAATAGGCGTCCCAGCAGAATTGTCCATTTGTTGCACCCGTGATCTGCAAGCAATGATGACCGTTTTGGGGGGGACCCATGATTGCAGCGGGATGGGCCCATCTTTGGAATTACAGTGCGTCAAGGCTTTGCAGGTGGCACGTCGCACTTGCGCCAGCAAAACAGATATGAGCTCAAATAACTCCTACAGCCACCGTAGATAATTAGATCCTAAACTTTTGAACCTTTGCAGATTCTCCGTAATGATTACAGTGAGCAGAGAAAATTAGTTTTCTTCTCTCTTAGAGCAAGGGCCCGGTTTATTTTCCCTAGGTTCGGCTCGGCTTTGGTGCGGCTCTGCTTGGCTTGGCTTGCTCTGGTTTGGTTTGGTTTAGGCTGGCCTGGCCTTGCTTCCTTCTTGATCTTAGGTTCGGGGTGTTCGAGGCGGGTTCAGGATTCGGGATTGAAGCCCTTCGGATTTAGGTTTAGTGTTTGCGAGGCAGGTTTCAGGGTTTGGGACGTAGGGCTTTAAGGATAGGCTTTCATAGGGTTTTCGCACTAGACGCACGCTGCTTAGGATACAAAGGCCCTTGCCTATCCAAGACCCTTGAACCTATGAAAACCTGCTGGTTTCCGTTACAACTCCCACTGGATACAGTTCCCAACTCACCCTCAGAGAGCCACATTGGCAGCTTGGTTGTGGGATCGACAGGCCTTGGAGGTCACAGCCGCAGCTGCGGCTCCTCCCCGGCCACTGAAGGCAGCTGCTTTTGCAGTGAGGGGAGGTTCTTGCATGTTGTCGCACGCGGCGTTTGGAAGATGCGGTGCGAGTGTAGCAGTGTAGCAGCAGTGCAGGGCACCGGAATCAGCTTCAGCACCGTGGTAGTTTTCGCCGTCTGCTCGGAGGGGCTCGGAGTCAGAGGGCCCGTATCTCGGGCCACGCCAACGCTGTGTCTGAGGTGCTGCCCACCTTGGACTTTGAGGAGCTCGAGGCTTCGGAGCAGGAGATCCTCTTGCTCCAGGAGGTAAGGGGCCCGCAGAGGGGGGCCGGGCCTTTTGAAGAACAAAGCCGCAGTGTTCTGTCTCTACAGGTGCGGGCTGCCATGGCTCAGTTTGCCAGCCGACGGAGCCCCAGAGACGAGCTCTGCCCGCGAGGGCCACGCGCCGCTCTTCTTGCGAGGTTCACTTCGCATCGAGCTGGGCGAAGCGGAAGCCCGGCCCTTTCGGCAGAGAGCTTCCGAAAGTGCTTCTTCTTCGCCGCTCTGTGAGGAGGGCGTGGAGGTGATTATGACCATCAAGAATGCATCCTCCAGTGAAGCGAAGGCCCACTCTGCCACTGCCACTGCCTGAATGCTTGGCAACTTGTGCTGTCCTAGCAGAGGCGCTCGAGTCCAAAATTCTTCGAGCAGAGGAGAACTTCTTGGGCGAGGTCACCGTTAAGGTTTCAGGGGATTCTAGGCTTCGTGGGAAAGGAGGGCTGAGCACCTGCTGCGGATGACACTGGTAATGATGTGCTTCCGTGCAAAGCACATCTCTCGCATAGCAGGTGGAGCAGAGGCTGACGGCTGCGCAGATTGGAGGTGGTGGTCCCGGACTTGAGACCGCAGGCGCACTCTGCGTCGTGGGATCCCATGCTCCTTGAGGCAGTGTGCCTCAGCGGGCGACCGACCTGCAGGTTATGGCGACTTGGCTTCAGTTCGTTGAGTGTCACAAGTTTAGGGTTCGGAGTCTGCAGGAGAGGTTTGAGGGGACCCTGAAGCTTCAAAACACGAACCCCTGAACCGAATCCTTCACAAATGTTTACGGTACCTGGTTTGGCGTTCCAGCGGCAGAACCTAGCAAGGTCAAGAAGACCATCGACACCAAGAAAGACGGCGACATTTCAGAGCAGGCAGCTGTTGTTCTCTTGTTGCTTGTTGGTTAGTTGCCTTGCTCAGAATCAGGTTCCTACTGGTTTAGAGTTGGTTTGGGTTCCAGCCGCAGAATCCAGCAAGGTCCAGCAAGCGGTTGCCACGACGTTCATTGAGTCGTGTTGCTGCTAGGAGCTGGTTGACACCAGAAAGCTTGCCCTTGGGGGGACTCTTACTGACCAGGCCTACAACTCCTTCCGCGCAGCAGCCGCCGCCGCAGAGGATGCGAAGGCACAGCAGAGAGTAACCGACCATCGTCAGAGGATTCATGGGCGAGCTTGCAGCAACAGCAGCTACGACAGCAGAGGTCTTCTTGTGCCCGGGCCCTTACAAACGCTAATGCCGCTAATGATTAAAGAAGCCTCGCCAGAATGCTGAAGGCCGTCAAGCTGCGGAATCTGTTTTGAAGGGTTCATGTTGTAGCACTCTCAAGTAACTCGCGCCTTGAGAGCTGACAGCCTTAACTCCTTCGAGCCACTCAAACGCACTTTACCCCAAGCCATGGAAGCCCAGCTTTATCAAATCAGGTCAACGCAGAGACAGTGAAAGTGGAGTCCGAGAAGGCGGGTGCGTTCCTCACGCGCGTTCGATTCGGGTGCTCCTTGGCTGGTCTCTTCTGCATCTACCATGCCGATGTATAGGGAGCCGAGAAGCAAAGACGCCAACTTCTTACAGTTGAGCGCGGTGCGGGTTTGAGGCTTCGGGATGCGATGAGTGATGGCGTTTCAGCTTTGCTGGCCTGGTACATCTGGAGCTCGCTGAGCGCACAGTCACACGACTCAAAAGGTCACAATCTTTGAGGCTTAGGGTGTAGTTTGCTTTTTTGGGCGTTTCGAGTTTATCGAATTTTTGCCTTAAGAGTTGGGGTGTTTCCACCTGAAGCCAGGCCAGCGAGGCCGCATCGGAGTACGAGCCCTCCGGCAGCAACTCTGGGATCCCACGTAACTGGTTTAGCACAGGTTTCGGTTTTGCGGTTTCGGGAACCCCGCCGACCAAGGAAGCACTCCGCGCGTCGCGTGCATTCCAGGTTGTCTCCTAACATCTCTCTAAATGGGTAGTTCTCTAAATTGGGGCCCCCTTTTGGGGTACTTTTTGTAAGGGTGCCGCACTGCATTGGGGACCCAACAAAGGGACCCTAATTTAGAGAACTACCCAAACTGAGACTCCGAGCCCCGAAATCATTGCTTGAAGGTTTATGTGGTAGGCTTCTCTTCGCACTGAGGCTTCGCTCCAAGGAAGCCCTGAAACAGAAAGCCTTACGACCCCAAGAGTCTACCCTAGAGCCCTCAACCCGAAAATCAGAAGTCCTGAGGGCTAAAGATACTAAGGCCTCGGTCCTGCAGCTCTCGAATGCACCGAAAACCCCTACAACACAAAGCCTCTCAACCATAATATAGCCCTGGCATCCACTCCAAACCCCGAAACCCCCCAAAGCCCTAAAACCCGAAACCCTAAATCCTAAAACCCGAAACCCCAAATCCTAAAACCCGAAACCTTAAACCCTTCAATTCTGAAACCCGACATCCCAACTAAAAACCCCCAAAGCAAGCTTTGGCCACGGCCAGGGCTGTGGCTCAAAACCGGAGCTTGGAGGCGCAGAAGGCGGGTTTCGGGGAAAGCCAGCTTTTCGAAGGGGATTTCGGGGTTTTTTAGGGTTTATGGGGGCTGTTAGGGTTTATGGGGACTTTTAGGGGCTTTTCTTAGGGTTTATGGGGGATGCAGGGGCTTAAAGGTTTATAGGGTCTTTAGAGATTTAGTGGTTTTTTTTAAGGGGGCTTTAGCTGTTTAGGGCTTGGGGGCTTCAGGGCTTAGAGTTCCAAGCTTCTCCGGGTTCGCTTTGGAGGTTTGCGGTTCCGGGGGCTTGGATTCACGGAACTTGGTGGCTTAGTTTGGGGCCATTCAGGGTTCGGGATTTCGTTTAAGCCAGGGCCAAGGAAGCAGAAGTTCGGCTCGCGGTTTTAGGCGACCCACAAATGACCTGCAGCAGCTCAGCGGGGTGTTTGAAATGCCGTTGCATCGCAGCATGTCATCAGACGGTTTCTTCAAGCCTCCCGCGGGAGCTCTGGTATTTTGGCAACAACATCTTCATGTTTAGACAGGTAGAAGTCACGTTTATGAATTTGCAGAAGCCTTCCAAGTTCATGAAGACGACATACGTCCCTGAGCCTTGGACGAGCCTCAAACCCTAAACCCAGCGCTTTTGGCAGATGCGGGACACGATGAATGTGCCAGGACTGAATCGGGCAGAAACGTGTCGAGTTTGTCGGCGACCACATCGGGCTTCAAGGTTTAGGTTTGGGGTCGGGCAGCGCTTTTCATTGTTTCGCAGCAGCCAACAAGCCTCCAACAGCCCAACTGCGGGCGTCATTTTCGTTGACGTGCAAGGCCGTATGCGAAGACTCCAGGACAGCTTTCGGTTATGCCCAGCCGCAGACCCTATAAGAATACCTTAGTTCCCTCCAAAGAGAGCCCTCGAGGAGCCGTAGTCAACACCACGGAGACTGAGATTTTGGACGGCGAGGCCAAAGCAGCCATGGATGCTGCAGGCCAGGCCCCGACCCGGAAGCCTTTGAAGTCTAAGTGTGAGGGTCCCCTGCGGCTCGGTTCTCTTTAAATGGAGTCCTTCGTGTGTTTGAGATTCATGTTCTGCGAAGACATCTGGGAAGTTCTGTGTTTGGGCCTCCTTGGCTGAGCTTATTCAATGTTGCCTCGTGCGGCACAGCACCCTGCTCGAAAGACTTGACACGTACTTTGCATGTCACAAGATTCCAGTGCTCATGTTGTTCCCCGTGCCTGAGACAGGTGTTGGGATTGGGGATTCGGGGCAGGATTTTAGAGAGACCGGGCTCGGTTACGGTCCTATCCATGGGGTCTCAAGGGCTGCAGTTTTCCGCTCAGGCCGAGGATTTAAAGGCATCCTTGCATACGAGCCTAGATCTCGACTCCTGAACCCCTGTCATTGAGGCAGCCAGAAAAGGGAAGACGAGCAAAAGGAAGACGAGCAACGACAGCCTCTCTGACGTGGAGAAGTTCAGATGGGGTTTAGTCAATCTGGGCTATGATGCCTGAAGGATTTCCATCAATCTTTCAGCCCCACCCAATGGGCCTGAAGGATTTAAAAAAATCCTTCAGCCCCACCCGGTGGGCCCTGAAACATCCATCAGCCCCACGAAAAGACTCTGAAGAAACCCACCCAATAAGGCCTGAAGGATTTCCGTCAATCTTTGAGCCCCACTTGATGGGCCTGAAGGATTAAAAAAAATCCGTCAGCCCCTGAAACATCCATCAGCCCCACGAAAAGACTCTGAAGAAACCCACCCCATAAGGCCTGAAGGATTTCCATCAATCTTTGAGCCCCACCCAATGGCCCTGAAGGGTTTTAAAAATCCTTCAGCCCCACCCGGTGG